TCATTTTTGGCAAAATATACAAAGGCTATAGCCTTTGTGTTTTTAGCAAAAATTGATGGATCCGGATTTCGACGGAAAAGTAGTCGAATCGACAGAGGTGAACCAGGGGACCACAAAATTACTTTTGGTTCCGTCAGAAACCACCTCTGTCCACAGAAACTTGCGTTTTAAGAGGAGGTCTTTTGAATCTGGCGGGCAGCGTACGATGGGCTGCCTACCTCGCAGGAGAACCAGTCCAGGAAAAACAGTCGTAACTCACTTGAAATGGACCGGCGGCGCGAAATTTCGACGGAGAGATTGAAACAGGATGCTGTCGGACCAATCCCAACCATTTCGAGGGATTTTCAAATTTTTTTCATTTTTGGCAAAATTTACAAAGGCTATAAATTGATGGGTCCGGATTTCGATGGAGGAGTATTCGAATCGACAGGAGTAAACCAGGCACCAAAAAACTACGTTTGTATCTGTCAAAAACCACCCCTGTCCACAAAAACTTGAGTTTTATAAGAGCTGGTCTCTTTAACTAAGGGTGGGTAGGCTACCTTAGGCCCACTGGCTAAGAACTCCGCTGTAGTGGGTCGGCACCATGATATTTAGACAGAGCATGTGTAAAGGGAGTCTGCCCCACCAATCCAAACCAATACCAGCAATTTTCCAAATTGCCAAGATTTCTGCCAAGATTTTTACGGACATTTTCAGTGATAACAAATCAGCCTGGATTTTGACAGAGGAGGATTGAAATCGACAACAAAGAACCAAGGCACTACAAAAAAACATCAAATACCACCCTTTGATGCACACGAAAGGAAGCTCCTCATAGTGTCTGTACAGAGACAAATTGGACCAGCGTTGGCGGTTACTGTCATGTCAACTCACCTATTTTTTTGGGTAAAATGACTCCATAGACTTCTCTTGCTCATGTCAAGAACATTTCTGGGCCGAGTTCCTGCAATCATATTAAACGGTACTTTTAGCGCTCATCTACTAATAATTACATATAATTTACTCATACAATACACTTATAAATGCCTCTCCCCCCATGCGTATCTAAATGACTATGGTCTTTCAAATAACTAATTTTGGCACTGGATTAAACATTAAGTGCGAAGGGGCAGCTGCAAATTATCTGCAACGCACATTGATTGGTGGGGGATTACGCAAATAGTACCACTTGGTTTGCACCCCAACCAGAAAGTAATAAAGTTTTCTGTTCCGCCAGAATAATATAGAGTAAAATATATGATACGTGATAAAACACGACTGGCAGTTCACCCAGTTGCATAAGGACCTACAACAGTATTTAACATACTGCATGGATTGGAGGAGTGTACCCATTCAACACCCTTTCAACAAAGCTGACAGTGAGCCAAGTTATTTACATCACGGGCATCATTTACTCGGCTTCAAAAAATAACTTACAACTTAATTGTGCGTGGAAATAACATTGAGCCACAGGAGAACACTAACCTCCTACAACAATAACCGGAATGGAACAATTCAATGTTCCGGGCCGGAAACAATCAAGCACTATACCTTGCGATCAATAACGAAAAGCGGCGATGTCCACTCTAAAATTCTGATTAAAATCCTATGATTATCAATTATATGAGTAGGTATTATCGGTATTTGGCAGAAACGCCGATCGTGACACCGACCGATATACACTGTTTGTTTACGTTTCCATAAAGGCGCGGGAAATGCGCGGTGGGGCTGGGGAGGAGGAGAGGGGTAGGGGACGCGGCACGGCAAAGGGGGAGAGCACTAATTACGGCATACTCACCGACATGTCGTGGTCGCGGGATATGTGATTCTTTCCTGGGGTAGGCAATCACGCCTCGCTTGTCCAGGATGTGATCCTTTGGGGATGCTTCCCGTCCCGTGCATCGTTGTGTGGCTCCAAGACGGCAACGCCAGGGAAGTGCCATGTTGACAATAGTGAAATGATCAGGATAAGAAACTATGATGGGCGATTTGCTATTAATAATAATTATATTTGGCGACTTTTAAGAAATATGCACCAGCCCGCCCGTGTGTAACAACTTTTGGAGCTGAATCGTATTTGTCGTGGGAGTGTCATGGGAGTGTCATCGGCGTGCTCGGGAGGTCCCCAATGACGTCCCCGGGGGCCCGGACGACATCGGCACTACCAGATTTGGACTCGGCGTGCGAGACAATCCTGGAACACGATATTTCAGTCGTCCTGGTCGTTCCGAGGTTGACGGTTGGTCGGTCGGTCGGTCGGCCAAACCGTATCTTATTTTGACAGCCCCTAGGACAGAGTCCATAAGCTCCTTCAGGTTTTCAAGGACAGCTGCGTACGCCGTGGCGGTGCCATTAGTTATAGCGGCGCACGCAACTGGATACATCTGGAAAAGAAAAAGTGGACAGATTAAAATTACATTCTTTCACTAAAAGTAATTGTAAATTCTGCGTCAACCGCTATCTCTACTCCGCACACTTACTTGGTCATTGGTGTATAATGACACTATGAAGACGTGTCTTGACTTGTTCAAGGTATGGTCTAATTTTGTAAGTGTCGTCGCCTTGCACAACGTCGTCCTTTTGAATCAGTCCCAATAATCTCTTACTGGCGAAAACAAGAGACTCCTCTCCAGGGGCGCCTACCATCCCCTGGAAAAACTCTTGTGCGTCATCGAGAGTCCTCGCTAGAAGATAGAAAAGTTGAGATCGATGACAGGTATTATCTAGACTTCGTGATCCCTGGCGGCATGGCGTCAACTTACCCATGTACGCGTTACCCAGGTCAGTGAGGATGGCCTCTGCCTCCTGGACGAAGCGGGGCGAGCGAGGGAGTCTTTTTCCTCTCACGTATTGAGCGCGATTTTGGAGGCTTTCCTTGCTGAAGTACTTGCGTACGAATGGGTTTGTGATCCTGAAACAATTGAAGATGTTTAGGAAAATGGCCATCATTGCACCCGGGCGCGCGCGCCCGTCCGCACGCACGCACGCATCGGTTAGACCATTCCAAAAAAAAAAAGAAAGGTTTTCGGGGTTCGGGCCACAAGGAATCACAGTTTGTACCAAATGTGGATCAGTTGTAGCGAATATAGTGAAGGAAGAAGAGCCCCGGCCGGCCGAGCGGGCCGAGCGGCCATGCGCGCGCGGCCTTCCGCGCCGCGGAGGTCCCTGTGTGTGATTTTCGAAAATCGAAAAGCGCCGATGTCCACCCTAAAATTCTGATTAACATCCTATGATCAATTAAATGAGAAGGTATTATCGGTACTGAGCAGGCGCAGATCGTGACACCGATTTCACTGTTTGTTTACGTTTCCATCTGTTTCCATAAAGGCGCGAGAAATGCGGGGTGGGGAGGAGGAGAGGGGTAGGGGACGCGACACGGCGGGAGCAAAAATTACAGCAGAAGTTCTGATCAGACGACGACACTCACCGACATATCGTGCCTCGGGTTCACGGGGCCGGGCCGAGGCCCGGGTGGGGTAGTGGTTTCATGTTTTCGTCGTGTCTGGAGTGAAAATTTATCAGTCCACAGACAGATTCAAAAAGCTATGGAAGCGGTTTGCGCCCGCTTCTAACTTTGGAGGTGCATTGTACACCCACCAAGTTACCCACCTCCACCCACGACAGCGGTGTACGAACGTACTTCCACTTATGATTGTTTTTTGTGTGTGAAACGGACGTTTGGCCGCGCCCGCCCGTATGGGGGAGAGACGGGGTGGAGGTGGAGGGTGCGGGACGGGTGGCCGACGCACGCGGCACCAGTGCGGCACCCGCATACACAGCCCCGATATGCAATCTGCACACGGCGACGCAGACAAAAATGTCCCCGCTGTTGCTTGCCAACGGCGGACCTGTGGGAAAACGACGATGAAGCGCGCCACTGCCGCCACTGTTGGCCGACGCGTTGCCGCTCCCCTCCCTTGCGACCGCCGCGCCTGCAGGCAGTCAAGCCGTCGGGTCGGCGCGTCCGATGGGTTGCCTACCTTCCGTCCACCAGGCGGCGCCTGCTACTGCGGGCGGGTTTGCTGTTGGCGGTCACGCGTTGGGTTTAGTTGGGTCAGGAGAGTCGGGGCGTAGAAGGAAGAAGGGCCTTCTCTTCAAAACCACTGCATTGGAAATCGACGTTCCAACGCATCGAGTCCCAGGTGCTGTAGTTCGTACACACCACGTACGCCCCAACGATGACGATGGCGGTGTTATCGATCGCGCCCGCGAGTCCACACGGACGGTGATTACATTTCGTCTGGAAGATGATAGCGCTGCTGATTTTGGGGGCCGATGGGGGCAAGGAGAGAGAACCGAGACGAGGTGGGCATGATGATGAATCACTCTCGCTCGCCGAGTGAGGGGAGCGGGAGCGGCGCGGGGTACCCGCGAGGAGGAGGTTGGGGGGGGGGGGTCTCCCCCTCTCTCTCTCTCTCCCCGCGCGGCCCGGCAGCACGCCAATGTCAAGTAAAGGACGAACGGAGTCCCAACACAACAACGGCGCGCGCCCGCGCAGCTTGGAGAGCGCAGGCACCCAGCACCGCCCGATTGCAGGGAGAAGGGGGAGGGGAGGAGAAGGGTGTAATTATCGAAGAACGTCATCGTCAGGGCTGAACATAGCACCTCCACCACCACCACCTGCTGAGGCTGGGAGGTGCGAGATTCGTCGCCGATGGTGGAAAATAAAGTGACCGAGCGAGCGAAATAAGCCAGAGTGTGGCGTGCGGTGTGGTCACGGCAACCGCACGGGTGAATCTGGACTCCACGCTCCCCGCTTTGCTGCCATCAGAATAAATAAAAAATAAACAAAAAGGCGAAAAATAACTTCTCGGGTTGGTAGGTACCCCCCGAGTACCCCTGGTGCGCAGGGGGGGACGGAGCTTTGGGGGAACCGGTCCGAGCGTAAC